TTTTGTTCATCTTACAATTGTTAAAATACATTTCAAAACAATCATGTTTTTTATAATTTGAACAAAAATCAGGTATTTCTCTACATTAAATATCAAAGAAAGCAATGTTTTATGTTCATTTTTCAACACTAATACCAACAAGCACTACACGATCAAGTGAAAGTCTGACAAATCCTACCTTGTTGTCCGCTGCAGGATTTCGGAATATTAAATCCCTGAAAGTGTTCCAGCCGTATTTTCTCATGATGTCCTTTCACCTGTGTGTTAAAGGTCTGTATAAGAAATTCAAAAAGCTCATGAAGGTCAGTTTTAAACACACACACACACCCCACTTGTGTGACAAGGCAGTGATGTTTTCCAACCAATCATCTGCTCAGATACCTCCCCCACGACACCACTGACCTGACTGTGTGAGTAAAATAAATGTTATGATAAAAATGAAATCTCACTTTCATGCACAGTAGTGAATATTATTTCCCTCTTGATAATATTAGTAATTAACCTTCACTCACTTGATGTGACGCTGGTTAAGGAAATTTCTGACTAATGTGCTATTAGTTTCCGCTGTAAAATGTCATTCTGCTAAAATAAGCTGATACTGTGTGTGACCCCTCCACACAGCTGCTTACAGTAGTGATAACAACATCATATGATCAGATTTGATAAGGCTGCAGGGGAACTGTATATCCAGTGACACAACACAATGATGGCTGTGTATGTGTGTATGTGACTCAGGAGAGTCACCACCCCGAAGACGGTCACCAAGTGGTAACAGCTACTCCCTAAAGCCACTGATAATGGACAGGTCTAATTGTGGTCAGTGACATCTATGTGTAATGACTGTACTATTGAGCTGGTGTACACCTGTGTGTGTATTGCCTGTAATTACAGTCAGGTCATGTGACCACAACACTGTGAGATGATCAGTGACACAGAGAGTGCTGCTACTGATGAATCCACAGGTTAATAATATACGTATTACTGTAATATTGCACATCACATAATAATACATACAAATTCTGTTTTACAAAATGTTTATGAGCATGCTGTCCCCTCATAATTCACAAAGAGATGTTTAAATGGTATATATTAGCTCTTACTAATAATGCTAATGGTAAGAAAGGGATCTATGTGCTGCTACATATTTTAAGAGAGGTATTAGAGATTTTTTTCCTTTCGGCAAAAAAAAAAGTTCTGTACATCGATAACAAATGAGCCTGAAACTGTATTTTATATGTGAACAAACTTTTTCATGCCCACGACAGCCAGTGGACCGAGGCATTATTTATCTTGGTAATCCTTCTGTTTGTCATTCTTGTGAACACAAAATTTTTACACCCCGAGGGAATTCCTTCAGATTTGGTAATGAACTGACCCAGACGAACTGATTAGCTTTTGGTTTTAAAGTCAAAGGTCAAAGTTGCTGGTTACTCAGTAAACACATTGTTGGTCTTATGAACACAATATCTCAAGAACACCGTGGAACTTAGCAAAATTAGTGAAGATCCAATAAAGATAGATCTCTCAACCCCATTTTGGGGCATTTTTGCCTTTTATTTTACAAATAGGAGGGACAGGATGACAGAGTGTAAGAATTGACACACAGTAAATAGACTGACTTATCAGGAGTCAAAAAGAGGACCGGCTGGTTTGAGTGTGCGCTCCAACCATTCCACTATCAGACCAAACTTAATTCCCCATTTCTGATGTCTAAGTTTTAAATGGTGTGGAGTGAGAAGTCTTTTAGGTCATCAGGCATTTTGGTCAATGACGTTCAGCCACAGTCTAACCACTGTAAACCTATAATATTCATTAGCTGGGATGACTCTATCTACTGATGTGTCCACAGATTACAAAAAAGCTGACAGTGATGTTGCATCCCCCAGAGTTACGCAAAGTCAGTTTAGAAGTCAGTGTGGAAGACAGAAGATCTGTATCCTCCATGTGCAAGATAGCAGCCATTCAGAGGGATGTAGAGTGGCTGGAGTTGGATATGTATGATGGGATAAAGAAAATACCTTTGAGTCCAAACCTGTTTTTTATAAGTTTAGCCAGTTGAACTTGAGGTCAGCTCTCTGTCTCTAGCTGGACAGGTCTGCCTTATGAATCACTAGCTCGTGCAGCCACCTTACAGTCAATAGACAACAAGTCTGTGTTGCTTCTCACAAATAGAATGACATGACTGTAGGAACTAACAGTATTGAGAATAGAAGGGGACAAAGAGCCAGAATATTTTTGTAAAGCCTTTCAATCTAAGGTTCGAGATTTCTAATAACTCTACAAAAGGCTTTCCCACCTCTGACCCACTAGCCCTTACAATGGTAGCCTTTTCTTCCTCTGGCACGTTGCCTTTACAATGCACTTTGTGCCAATATCCTCTTCAGTTTTATCCCTTGGTTTTATTTATTAGATAAACATACCAAGAGTTATTGGGTTTCAATTTCTTTGAGGTTTTCTTCTCTTGAGTGTCTTTGTCATGCACCTTGGGTTCGAGTTTAGATAAAGAACTCAGCTGAAGGCACTGATCCATCCTCTCCATTAGGCTGGAGAGTGTGCATCCTCCAAATCCTTTATGACCAGTCCATGAACGTGTACTCTACTGCCCTAAGTAACTTTATTCACATTCCACATGATGAACAATGTGGATGTGGAGCAGGAAGTGACTGGCATCTGGAATCAAATTCATTCAGAAACCTTAAAGACAAGTGCATGTGTGTATTTAACAGCAAGGCACAGTGTCTGTGTCATGAGCCTTAACTCAATATTTAGCAGGTTTATTGTTTTAATAAAGAAAAGCTCTATAGTTACAGCACTCAGTGGCTCTTTCCTGTGCTGCGCTATAGTCCATAAAAATCATACACATACTCACACAGACATGGA